TGGTCAGTTGTTATGCTGCTTCTAGGGCATTGGCAGCCTGTTCTTTCTTTGTACCCCCAAGAACAGCCCAAGGTCACCTTGCTTGGGTGAGAAAGTCTTTGGGAGTTTCTCTGAGCATTGCCAGTCAAGCTGTTCTTGGAGTGTCCACTAATAAAGAAAATAAACTCTGGATCCTGCATGAGTGAAGCCATCGTATTTAGAATGCCAGGATCCCAGAAACCCAAGGAAAAGATTCCCCAGTTCTGTAATAGAAGGGCCAATTTTTACTCCCTATTTATCTGAAAAGACTGCTTCGAACTGGGGTGATTTGAGAGACCAGAACAGCAGAGAAGAAGGTGCTTAAAATTCTAGGGTCCTTCAAATGGTCCTCAAGATCTTCCACTGAGAAGCAAAGAGAGAGACAGAACTTGATGTATAAGAGATTTATTGGAGGATGCATGTGAAGTTCAAGGGAAGAGGGAGCAGAAGCGGGTACAGGGAGACTTCAGAACATAATGCAGTTCTGACACCTGGGAAAGGAGAGAGGGAAAGAAGGGTGGTTAAATATGAAGAACTCTACACTGAGAGACAGTTCTGAGAAAGCCAGGGCAGTTCAACAGGGAGTTCTGGAGCAAAGACTGCCTGGGGGAGGTATCTCTAGTGCTGTAGGAGTGAACGATTCCAGTATTCTGCCGAGTACAGTAATTGGGCAGAACTCAAGGAGGTCATGGCCCTGGGAAAACATTAGCTATTCCTGAAGGTGTGGCATCCAGAAGCTGTTTGCTTACCACACTCTTTGCAGGAGGAGTTCTTGAAGAGAAATCACAACAATGCTCTTTTATGACCACTACAAGAGAGGACCTGTACTTGGAGATAAAGTCTGAGTCAAGGATTCATGGAGTAAAGATGTTCTAGAAAGAGAGGTCTAACCCTTGAGAGCCCTAGTCTTTAAGTCACAGAATGGAAGCTAACCTGTTTCAAATTCTCTTCTTTCTTGAAGTCAAAACCCTGGTGGAATAGAAGGCCTGCCAGTACCCATGTATGGTGTCCTCTCCTGACCTCTTTGGCAGGGCACGGACCTTTGACCTGGACCCTGGGAAGGGTCCAGGCTCACAGCACTCACTTAGCTCCAGAGCCAGAGTTTGGTGGTTAAAAGAAACAGTCCTCTAGTGTCAGTCACATCCCATACATTCTCCTCTGGGCTCTCCAGCAGATCCTGGTATTCTAAACACCATGGCTCCCCTCATGTAGGATCTTTATTAGCGGATACTCCAAGGAACAGCTTGACTGGCGATGCTCAGAGAAACTCCCGGAAACTTTCTCAACCAAGCCCTGAGCACCATCTGATCTTCCATTTCCTAAAATTGGAAACTAGGAAGTTGTCTTAAAAATGGTGGAAAGCTCTCTGATTTTATTCTCCATGATTAAATATAATTATAAACGATCTTTCAGCTCTTTCAGATCCATCCATCTTTCAGATCTTTCAGATTCCATCCTCTGCTGGACTTGTGTCTCTCTCCTCATCAGCCATCCGCCAGGCTCCAGGCACACTCCAGGCACAGCCTTCTGTCGGGCTCCACCAAGCTGGTGGTCATTCAGAAGCCAGTGCAGAGCTCATTCTGGAAGAGACTCTGTCCCCATGCCTGGGAAGGTCCTGTAACTGATATGCTTGTGAAGCCACAGAGCCCACAGGCAAGGGTAAACCAGGATAGAAAGAAGGACTGGCTTCCACAGGGGTGCCCAGAGGGAACTTGCTTTTGGACCTTAAAACTAAAGACATCTGATTGCACGACCAAAAACCAGTAGTAGCAGTGGGATGTACTGGAGGAATGGGGGCCAGCAATCTGCAGAGCTAACCTGTTTCAAACTCTCTTCTTTCTTGAAGTCAAAACCCTTGTGGAACAGAAGACTTGCCAGTCCCCATGTATGGTGTCCTCTCCTGACCTCTTTGGCGGGGCACGGACCTTTGACCTCTGATGTCTCAGGGGATAGAGTAAATAGATTCTTTGTGATGCTAATTTTTATAATGCCTACTATAGTTTGGATCTTTAATGTCCCTCAAAAGCTCAGGTGTTGAAGGCTTGGTCTTCCACTTGGTGTTGTTCAGAACCCTTAGGAGGTGGGGCCTAATGGGAGGTTTTAGGAAACTGGGGGTAATGACCTCAAGGGGATTGTGGTGTCATCCTTTCTCTGTTTCATTCCTGGCCAGTTTTCCTTGCTACACAGTGCCACCATGATGTACAGTGCTACCGTAGGCCCAAATCAACAGGGCTAATCAGTCATGGACTGAAACTTCTGTAACTTTTAATCAAAACAAACCTTTCCTCTTTCTAAGATGATTATCTTAGGTATTTGTTATAGTAAAGAAAATTTGATTTAATATCTGAGGTTGATTGATTGATTGGTACTGGGGATTGAACCCAGCCAGGGTCACTTAACCACTGAGTTGCATCCTGAGACCTTTTAGTTTTTGTTTTTGTTTTTTGAAATAGGGTCTCACTAAGTTACTTAGGACCTCATTAAGTTGCTGAGGCTAGCCTTGAACTTGTGATCCTCCTTTTTCAACCTCAGGAGTTGCTGGGATTATAGACATGTGCCACTGCATTTGGCCTGAGACTCTTTTTTAATAACAACTCTGTGGTAATCCAAATAATAGTCCCCAGAAATGTCCTCATCCTAATCTTCAGTACCTATGAATGTCGCCTCACACAGCAAAGGAACTTTGCCAGTGGATCACATGAAGGCTTTCTGGAAGAGATTATCCTGGATTATCTGGGTAGCCCAATGTAATTATAAGTGTTATGTAAGAGTGACAAAGGAGGGCCAGAGGGAAGAAAATGATGTGATGACAAGAGCAAATACAGAAGTGATGTGTGTGTGAAGAAGGAATACAGACAGCCACCAAAATATGAAAAAGGCAGAGCACAGATTTCCCCCTGAAGCCTCCACAAACAACCAGCCCTGCCAACACCTTGATTTTGACCCCATCAGACTCATTTTAGACTTCTGACCTTGAGAACTGTAAGAAACAAATCTGTGTTGTTTTAAGCTACTAAATCTATGATAATTTATTACAGCAGTGATAGGAAACTAATACCAACTGTCATGGAGATATTTTCTGAGTTTCATCATGCATCTATTTCACATCTTGAACTAAAATGCTTCAAAGAAACCACCATCTCACTGAGTCTGCAGAATTCTAAAACCATCCACATCCTTAGCAATACTGCAGGCGCATAGGATGTGTGCCAGGTGAAGGGGTGGGCAGGGCTCAGCTCTTCCTGTGGTTGAGGGAGCACAGGAAGGTCATCATGGTGGGTGCTGCTCATAGCTAATTATAACCATGGCTTTCACATGTGGGCACTGGCTGTATCTTGGGCTGAGGCAAGTGCTACTTTGCTCCAGTCAAGGTCATAGTGAAAGCCAAGTGGTGTAGGTGGTATGGTTCAGGCTGAGACTTCACATGGGAGCTTGTTGCTTTTTGTAATTACACCCTCAGATGGAAGATGAAGTGTCTACAAGCCAGGTCAGCAATCTTAGTGAAGGGCCAAATTTAGAGCCAGGCTAAACATCTCTTTATTCCAGAAAAGAATTTGGGATTGTTGTGGAGGAAGAATTTGGGGCTGCAAATTAAAGACACTTCCAAAGCGTGAACTGTTGCCACTCTACAAGACCTATAAAATGTTACAGGACAGCTATAAAATTGCTCAATTTAAGTTTTTGTAGATGTCCTCTATATAGGATGGTGGGACATAATGAGTAAAGATATATTTTCAACACAGATGAAGGAAGAGGAGATAGAGGGAAACAGTATATTTGGCAAGAGATTTGAGTGGTGTGGTAGGAGGGAGAAAGTAGAGAGAAAACTGTGGGGATACAGACCATCAGTTCAAGGACTCTGGCCATAGCAGAACAGAGACTGACAATTGCTGGAAGGATATTAGTGAAGGTCTTTTGTCTCTTAGTTGTTTTTGTTGTTGTTGTTATTGGTGGTGTAGTAGTGGTGGTTGCAGTACTAGGGATTGAACCCAGGGTCTTGTGCATGTGAAGCAAGTGCTCTGCCACTGAGCTACATCCCCATTCCTGTCTGTTAGAGAAGTTGGAGAACAGAGCATGTGAAGCCCAAATGGAGAAAGAAATGAAGCTACTTAAAGAGGTGAACTGGGGGAGATAAGAATCTTCAGACTATGGGAGGAGGTAGGGCTAGGATCAGCAGTACAGGGAAAAAGTGTCCTCTCCAAGACTGGAGGGGAGAAGACTAGGTCAGTACAGAGTGAAGTGGAAGATCTCCACTATTTCATGCAGTGCCACTGTGGCACCCCAATGTGGTAGGCACAGAAGCTGGGAGGTGGCTCTTTCTACAACTTCAAGGTATAGATCCACACCCATGTGAGGTTGAGGAAGGCAGGATACAGATTTGCACTGCCCTACAACAGGGGAATTAAGTAGAGTTTTTCTGTCTTCTTAAGAATCCCAGCTCATAGGCACTTTCTAGGGTGTGACCTTTGTAGGATCACCCAGAGACTAGATTTCTTCTCTCGTTTGTTCTGCTATCTCTAGGGCATGGTTCTCATCAGTTGGGTGGCAATGGCCTATTAGGGCCCATGTACCTTCTAGCAAGTTGGGGGGCAACCTGGAAGTTGTACTCAGTACTTCTCCTCACATCCTGTGGCCACACTTAACTGCAGGGAGTCTGGGAAATATAGTTCCTATGGGTAGCCATGTGCCAGCTAAAATACAAGACAGTCTAATACTGAAAAACAGAAAAGGGGATAAATATTAGGGAACAATTAGCCATGGGCAGAACTAAGCATATATAATTGTCTATCTTTGCTCTATATTTGGGTACATGACTTCACCTCTCCGGGCTTCATTCTTCTTTAAAACAGGACTGGGGGTCTTGGGGGACCACCATGGCCTGGTATGAATAAGCTGCAGTCATGGAGCACCTGGCAGGGGCCCAGAAACCAGTAGGCACACACTCAGTACCTGCTGGTCCCCTTTCTCCCCTTCCGCCCTAGGAAAGCCGTTGTACCTACATATTGGGGAGGAGATGGACGGTGTGGACATGCGAGCAGAGGTCGGGCTCCTGAGCCGGAACATTGTGGTGATGGGAGAGATGGAGGAGAAATGCTACCCCTACAGCAAGCACATCTGCAACTTCTTTGACTTTGATACCTTTGGGGGCCACATTAAGGTATGGCTTTGCCTGGCTGAGGCTGTCAACCCCACCAGGAGAATTTCCAAGGTGTTGGCCTATAGGTAGGGACTTTTTGGAAGGGGATGGAGAAACAGGAATTAGAATCAAAGGAAGTGCAGCTCCTGGGAGTTGGAGAAGTTTCATGTCTTTTCCACTGCTGTGATGTTGCACCTTTCAGTACTGGAGAACAGAGAGTTTTTGGAGCCACCTTGGGAATGGTTCTCTCCTAGAGGCCACAGGGAACACGGCTTTCCCTGCTCATCATTGCCGCCTTCCTAGCTTCGTTATTTAACCTGATCATGTCCTGAAAAAAAGTCATGGTTACAATAGATCCATTACAGCACAGACAAAACAACAAGCAGGGGAGTGGAACTAGAAGTGGCAGCAATTATAGCTGAGATTTTCTGGTAAAGAGCCAAGGTCAGACAGACCTACTGAGCTGCAGGGCTCTCACTGTGCAATAAACAAAAGTGATGCTCGTTCCTTGGAGCTCAGGATCTAGTATCAAGAGAAATTTCTTTTGCATCTCTATACAAAATGCCTTTACTGGGCCTATTAAATAGTGCAAAATATGGAAATTTCTTCTTGTGGTCATTGATGCCAATGTTGATAGCATGTATTATCTTGGAGTTTTGTGAAGATGGTTCTCTTGAAGGTGCTTTAAGGATAAGATTTTTGGTATCTAATTGAAGAGGCTAATGAAGTGAAACTTAGAGTTGGCAATGGGGAGGGACCCTGCTGGTATTTTACATGAGACAATTCTGTGTCACGCAGGCCTATGTTACAGCATTTCTAGAATCACTGGCTCCTATTCATTAAATGCTAATAGTGCTTTTTAGCATTACTTCTAATCGTTTCCAGTCCTTTTCTGGGGACAGGGTGGGAAACTCTTTAGTGAGACCACAGCAGAAATAGCAGGTCTATTATTCAAGCTGCTGCAACTCTCTTCCCAATACTGAGAGTGATTCTGAGTGATCAGGGCACTCTTGCCCACTGAGCCCAAACTAGTCCTCAGGATCATTCTCAACACAGCTTCCCCAGGGATCCACCACTGGAGTTGGGATTCCAGTAGACACCTATTTTGTGGACAAATGGTAGGCATGTCAGAATTATCTTCCTTTCCTGGAAGTTGGCTGAGCCCAACTTCTGACAGAAATCACTTTCAGACTGTGCTTTCTCTATGAGCTTCTGTAACTCTGGGTATCTGTGTGGTCAAGGGATTCCCCTGAGCTCACAAGGAGTGGCTCTGAGTATACTGTGAAGAGAGCATGTGAGCTCCCACTACTCCTCACATGCCAATAACGGGGAGATCCATGAAGTTTCCATAATCAATATCCCCAACCCTCTGTTGGGAGAGGGTCTCAAATGGTGGGCATGGGGAGGCTCTTACCACCCGGCCCGATGGTCCTCCATATTCATTCCCCAAACTGGTAGGGCATATTATCTGCCAGCTCCACCAGGTTATCCCAGGATTATCCCTTTTTCATAATATTTGGTGGCTCAGGAGGCAGGGTAGGAAAGGCAGAGCAGAGCAGTCCCAGGTATTGCGCAACTCCTTAGGGCTTCTCAAATCCAAGTAGTGCATTGTTTTGCAACATCCTCAATCATTAGTAATGCCTTTCTTGTTTCCCTTTCTGTAAGAAGAGGCAGGCATCCTAACCAATATGCACAGAACATCTTTGACTTACCCAGGTGGGGATTGACAAAGCACTCTGGGGACACATTTGCATTGTCTGGAAGCTCCTCAGGGCTTCTTCTGACTCACCCTTTCCTCTCCCTCTCCACTTCCAGCTTGCACTGGGGTTTAAAGCAGCACACATGGAGGGCGTGGAGCTAAAGCACATGGGGCAGCAACTGGTGGGTCAGTACCCGATTCACTTCCACCTGGCTGGAGATGTGGATGAAAAAGGAGGCTATGACCCACCCACATACATCAGGGACCTTTCCATTCACCACACCTTCTCCCGCTGTGTCACCGTCCATGGCTCCAATGGCCTGTTGGTGAGTACCTCATGCAAGAATGTTTGGATCTAGACATTTAGTCCTGGACCACTAGAGGTTGAACCATCCTTATCTCAGATTCTATCAGTTACTAGCAGGTCACTCACCAGACAGGAAGGAGAATGAAATCCAGGGATGGTTTAGTGGCCATGTGGCACGACAGATCTATGAATGCAGACCAAGGTGTTATGCCAAGATCTTGGCTGTGGCATCTGCTGGGCTGACTGGAGGTGGTAGCAGCCATGGGCTCCTTTCTTTCTGTTTCACCAAGAATCTTTCAGATCTGGTGCTGTGAGAAAGACCTTCACCAGGAAACTGGCATACATGCCAGAAGCTTGTCTTGATTTTTCACAGATAATTTGTGCACTAAACTGGCCCTACTCTAAATGAACTAGTTTTACAAGCCTATCACAGGTTAAATCCAGACACCAGATTTTTTTTTCTAATAGGATGTTGAAAAAAACATTTGCTAATTATTTTTACACTAAATTGATAATTTTACACTCATATCAACTATCCTAAATAACTTTACTTACATCCTCTATAAACTTTACAACTGGAAGTCACAAAAAGGAATGCTGCAAGCTGAATCAAGTAACCAGATGTGTTTTATTTGACTTAAAAAGTGTGTAAAACTGAGTGTGGTGGTACACACCTGTAATCCCAGAAACTCAGGAGGCCAAGGCAGGAGGACTGCAAAATTCAAGCTCAGCCTGGGCAATTTACCAAGACCCTGTCTCAAAACAGGGGATTGAACCCAGGGGCATTTAACCACTGAGCCACATCCCCAGCCCTTTTTATTTTTGAGCAAGGTGGCTAAGTTGCTTAAGGCCTAGTAAAGTTGCTGAGGCTAGCTTTGAACTTGTGATCCTTCTGCCCCAACCTCCCAAGCCTCTGTGATTACAGGTGTGCACCACCTCACCTGGCTCAAAAAAAAAAAAAAAAAAAAAAGAAGAAGAAGAAGAAGTAGAAGAAAGAAAGAATTAAAAGGGAGCTGGGTTGTAGCTCAGGGGTAAAGCACCCCTGTGTTTAATTTTCAATACTATAAAAATCAAACGGTGTCTAAAGAGCACTTGAATTTGTTTCCATCATTTAAATGCTGAGACTCTGCATGAACAGCTGGATTTCTGGCTCCTCTTGAAAAACAGGACTGTTGGCAGCAACAGTCCCTCTTTACTGTAGAACAACATGGGTTGGAGCAGAGTCGCAGCTGCCCCTCTAGCCCATGCACACTCTCCAGTGTCAACTGGGCCTGCTACTGCCTATTCCCTGGGTTGTTGTCACTCATCTCACTGCCTGCTGGCCCCTGTAGACAATTGAGATTGTGACCCCTACTTTAAACCAAGCAAAATGACTCTCACCATGAGGCTTGTGGTGAGGGGAAGATGAGGGAGGGGAAGATGAGGAGAGCTGTCAGCATGTCACTGAAGAGCTACTTTCGGTTCTATTCAGTGTGCTCTTCTGTTATAAAAGAATGCCTGTTGTCTCTGTGGTCTCAATGCTCTGATTTAAACCCCCCACTGAGTGTAGAGGAGAGGGCAAGATTTGCTGAGCCCTGTCTACAAGGGCCCAGGTTCCAGGGCTTGATTCACAGTTTTCCAGCTGTGAAACCTTGGGCAATTTACTTAACCTCCCTGAACTTCAGTTTCTTCCTCAGTCAAGTGGTAAAATGACATCAAACATTTAGGACTGTGGTGAGGATCTATGAAATGCAAGTGCGACAGGAAAGACCCAAGACCCCTGCCTGCCAAGTTCACTGGAAGTGCTTGTCCCAAACCAGGCCAGATGCTCTCAGTAGGTGGTAGCAGGGCTGTGCTGCCACAGCTGTTACAAAATGTGGGACTTTTTTCCTGGCTCAAGGAAGAAGGAAAAAAAAATGTTTTGGGCTGATGCTGAGAGACAACAACGTGACTTACAATAAATTCAGAATGTCAGGAATTTGGTAGTAACAATAAGCTTGGGTTCTGTAAACAGATGCCCTGAGTTCCAATCTATGTTCTGCCACGGATGAGCTGTCTAATTGTGCACCAGTTGTCTTACCTCTCCATGCCTGTTTCTTCTTCTGTAAAATGGGGAGGATCTTGTTTCCAGGACTGATGGAACAGAAGACACAGGCAGTGTGGAGACTAGTGCTAGACTCCCATCTAGCTCTGGGAGAGTCACAGGATCTGCCCTGTTTCCCCTGTAATTTGCAGGAAAAAAAAATAAACACACTCAAGCATTCTCACTCAGGTTGCCAATCAAGGTCAGAATAGGGTGGTGAAAAGAACAACATAGAATATGGTAAGAAAGGTAACAGCCATGCATGGTAGTACATGCCTGTAATCCCCTTGACTTGGGAGACTGAGGCAGGAGGATCCAGGTTGGAGCACAGCCTAAGCCACTTAGAGAGATCCTGTCTCAAAAACAAAAAGGGCTGGGGAAGTAGCTTAGTTTTAAAGTGCCCCTTGGTTCAAAAGCCCCATCTGAGCCTCTAGAACTTTACTTGTGCTAAGAACTTATGTTAAAAGTTTTCTCCTTAATTTCAGGCCAAATTGCCTACATTTAACTTCATTACAGAGAAAAATAGTAAGAGTGCCAGAAGCCTATAATTACAGTTCAGAGTCTGTTGGAGTGGGAGCTATTCTGAATTTCAAAGCAATCACACACATACATGAGCACATACACACACACACACACACACACACACACACACACAGAGGCATAGGCATGCACTTACACCTGGGTGTGGACCTGTGCTATGCTCACCCACCTGGCTGGCCTTGGATGACCTATTGAATCAACCTGGTCTTCAGTTCCTCAGATGTGCTATGAAGAATGTCATGGCTCCTCCTCAGGGATGTTTGGTTAGAAAATGCAGGTGAAATGTTTTTGGCTGTTATAACAGTAAACTTTCCCCAGAGCAGTGAGCCCGGGTCTTAGCTGCAAACCAGGGGGAACTGGGCAAGGAGTGCTGAGTGGAGCTGAAGGCATTGTGCCCTTGGGGCACCCATCAGGGCAGCATTGAGGGTGCACATCTCAGAGGGGACACATGCAAGGGAGAGCAAGCCCAGGCCTTTCTCCAGGAGTCTGAGTTAATGCATCTAGGCCAGGATACCAAGAGATGCCTGAGGCAAGACAGAGGCAGCAGGTGAAGGTGGCCTTGGATCTATCTTATTTGGAGCAGCCAGATACATTAGCCTCACATACAGTAGAGGTAGACTCCTGGAGTAGAGCCTTGGACAGCTTCTTGAGCTTCTTGGATTCTTGCCACCTTAAATACCAAGGCCTTCCTCGTGCCTGACTCCCAGAGGTGCTGGCTGTCAGACCAGAGGGAGCATCTGTCAACTCTCAGTGTCACCCAGATGCCAGATGGCCAATATACCAGCTGCAGCATTGGCCTTGTGGCCACACAGGGATCTAGCCTCACTCAGCTCAGCCACGCTCGACAGCCAAGCTGATGAGGTAGGATTTAGAGTCATAGCCCTGTTGTAGCCTTTCCAAACTGAAGCCAAATTATCATGGTTTAGAATCTAGATGAAGTACAGGCCTCTAACTCTCTGAGCCAGACAAGCAACACAGCCATACCCCTGGATGAAAGCTGAGGTTTTACAGATTGGCACCTCAGTCTGTAAATGCTTCCCTATGGGGGCAGGAAGTTCCACGCTCAGAATGCTGCCACAGCAGCTGGACACTGTCCATTGGAATTTTGCATTTCTTTCCTTTGTTTTGGCTTTAAGGATTTACCAGTGACTTGCTATGTCTGGGAAGATGTTTTCAACTGGCAGGATGGAAGTAACCCAAAGACACACAAGGACACAGTTCAGATCTGGAATGCAGAGGCCACTCAGTAGCATCTCAGAAGCATTTTTCCTAACATCTCCCCTGCTCTGGAGGCTGGCTGGATCCCAAAATGGATAGGCACAGGCTCATAGAAAGAGGGTTTCCATGCCAAGCCACGGTAGTGCATACCTATAATCCCAGAACCTGGGAATGCTGAGGCAGAAGGATTACAAGTTTGAGGCAACTTAGGGAGACCCTGACTCAAAATAAAAAATAAAAAGGGCTGGGAATATAAGTGTCCCTGGGTTCAATCCTTGGCATCACACACACACACACACACACACACACACACACACAGAGAGAGAGAGAAGGGGTTCCAAGTTATGCAGATCTGAGAGGTGCTTAACACTCATGCCCAAGGGGATCCTGGGAGCCCCTCACTTGTGGGTTCCTCCTCTCTGCCTGTTAAACATGCTCTGTTCATCCAGTACCCACATTGGGCAGCCCACCTTTGTTATTTCTTTTCCTTAACCACCAACTTTTGCAAAGAGTGGTCAGAAATTGACATTTCTGCCAATTCTGTTTCTCACTCTTCTGCTAATTAACCAAAATGTGGGCTTCTCAACTTTTGCTTTCCCTGAGCCTTGGTGATAGTGCTTAACGGTATCTCTCCGGGGGTTACCATTGAGCCAGGTATGGTGGCTTATTCCTCTAATCCCAGCAACTTGGAAGGTTGAGGCAGAAGGATCACAAATTTAAGGCTAGCCTCAGCAACTTAGCAAGACTTTGTCTCAAAATAAAAATAAAGGGCTAGAGATGTAACTCAGTGGTAGAGCACTTGCCTAGCATGTGCAAGGCCTTGAGTTCAATCCCCAATTTTTTTGGAGCACCCCCCCCCCAAAAAAAAAGTGTCACCACAGAGCTCAACAAATCCACTGCCCCTTCTCTCACCTCATGAATATCTGTACTCGTTTTCAATGCTATTGCAAGTGTCAGTAGAGCCTTGAGTTTGAAGAGCATAGGGTCACAGAGACTGATGGTTTCCTCTTCTGTAAAGTGAAAATAACAATAGAATCAACTTCAAAAGGTTTTTAGATTTTTGACATACTGAGCAATGATATTAAACAATATCTTCACTATGTGGCTCTGTATCTAACTGCTCTGTGTGACCATTACTGGTTCCCAGAGATGGTAGTTAGTATCCCTACCAAAAAAGAGTGTCCTTTGAGTGAAATGCT